AAAATCCTCTTTATGCCTCATATGACTGTGATTCTCTAGGGCTCTGTCTTGTTTGTCTCTGTGTCACTCCACACATATCAGCGTATTTGGCATACAGTAGGTACCTACTGAATGCTGAATGAATAAATGAATGAAGCTGAGGTGGTTGCAGCAGGGGGATTAAGAGCATGGACTGTGGAATCAGATTTCTTAGGTTCAAATCTGGACTCTGACACTTTCCAGTTGTGTGTGTGACATTGGCAGCCTACATGTAGCCCCGGTGCCTCAGTTTCCTCATTTATAAAATGCAGATAATTATAGTACCTGCTTATTGTGAGGATTAAACAAATAGATATGAAGGGCTTAGAAGTGTACCTGACACATAATTAGTACTATGCAAGTGCTTATTAAGTTAAAATAAGGACTATGTTGAAGGTCTCAATTTTCACTATTGCCAGAAAAAGTATCTTCTTGGGCACTTTCAAAGTTCTTCTCCCTGAAACATGGAAAACTGTGCTTTTCCACAGAAATTTTGAGTAAAATAACTGTCCCTAACCTCAGAAAACATTGATTTGGTTTGTTAGTTTCAGGGGATTGGTACATATTAAGCAGCCTGGTTTTATGGGACAGCTGAGCACAGGCCATGATATCCCCTCATTTCAGGGACACATCCAGCAGCAGCAGTAGCAGTCACTGACTCAGAACAAACCTCTTTCCCCCACTAATGATCCTTACATAAAACCTAGAATAAAATTCCTCCCTGCCCCCCACCCCCACCCAGGCCTTTCTGTTTGGCCAGATCAGTGGCTTCTCCCAACCAAGTTCCATTTCCTCTGAGCTCTCAGACTGAGGCATCTGCAGAGATATCTTTGTACCTTTGTATGCCACCAAGTCTGGCCAGGCTTGGCTTTCTGACCAGCACACCATTAAAGACCCTAGAGTGGGACAAAGAATGAGTGTCTGTTCTATTCCTGTCCCCACTTCCTTTCCAGTCAAAGGCAGGCTGATTTGCTGCTGGCTGCCAAGTGCTACAAATAGACACACAGGCCTGGGGAAATTGTGCATCCCACGTGGGGATAAATTAGGATCAGACCCTGGGGTACAAGACTGGAGTGACATTTAAAAGAATAACAGTGTACTGGTGTACTTTTCATACTGGCATGGCATGTACTGCAGCTACATCAGATGCAAGACATATTTTCTTTGGGCTTTGATTAGCTTCCTTCCTACCCCTCTCCACCTTCCCCAACCCCCTTGTCCCCCCCACCCGCCAGCCAACACATTCAAAATGCCCCATCATCCTACAGTCATGTAATTGAGCTCATGGATTAGTGCAAAGGCAAGTTCTCTCTCCCAGTCCTTGAGAGAGCTCAGGCCCCAGGCTTCATAACGTAGATGGGCCTTGGAGTCCCGCTAACCCAGTCCTGCTTCCTGTGCGGTGGCCAGCAGGGCTGTGCAGCACTATTAGTCAGGACAATCCTGACAGCACATTAGTAAAAAGGGGATCCCAGGGAAGCAAATGAAGTGGCTGCATTTTGAATTCCACCCACTGTGAGGGCACCCCAGGGGCACAAAGGAAAATCGTGTGATACCACTTAAAGTCTATAAATACATGTACATAGCATGTGCTTCTGAGTGGGGCTGAAGAGGATTCAGTTTTCTGGGCAGAAGGACTTTAAAACAAACAAATTGGATATAGTGTTGGGAAGTTCTTTCTAAACCTTTAAATAACTGAGCTGTTTACAGTGTGATTGTCCCGACAATGGGATTTGAGGGGAGACACTGCAGGATTTCCTGCCCTGAGGCTTGAGGAATAGGAGTGAGAACACTCTGCCCACAGGAATTTTTTTTTTTTTTT